TTTGTTGTAGTTTGGCCGGGGCCAGGTTTGAAACCACCACCCTCGGTATATGGGGCCAGTGCCCTACTCAATGAGCCACAGGTGCTGCCAGATATTTGCCTTTTTTTTTTTTTTTTTTTTTTGCAGTTTTTGGTTGGGGCTGGGTTTGAACCCACTACCTCCAGCATATGGGGCCAGCGCCCTACTCCTTGAGCCATGGGTGTTGCCCAATATTTGCATATTTTGAATCAGACAAAAGCTTGATAACTAGGATTTATAGAGAACTCAAACTCACATGAAAAAAGCCAACAATCCCACATATCAATGGTCAAGAGACATGAATAGAACTTTCTCTAAAGAAGACAGATGAATAGCAAACGAATGAAAAAATGCTCATCGTCCCTAATTATTAGAGAAATACAAGTTAAAGCCACCCTGAGATATCATCTAACTCTGGTGAGAATGGGCCACATCACAAAATCTCAAAACTGCAGATGCTGGTGTGGATGTGGAGAGAAAGGAACACTTTCACACTGCTGGTGGGACTACAAACTGATACAACCTTTTTGGAAGGAAATATGGAGAACCCTTAAAGAGCTCAAGCTAGACCTCCTGTTTGATCCTGCAGTCCCATTACTAGGCATCTACCCAGAAGGAAAAAAATCCTTCTACCATAAAGACACACTAGACGGTTTATCGCAGCTCAATTTGCAATCACCAAAATGTGGAAACAGCCTAAATGCCCACCAACCCAGGAATGGATTAATGAACTTCATATATGTATACCATGGAATACTATTTAGCCTTTAAAAAAGATGGAGACGTTACATCCTTTGTATTAACCTGGATGGAAGTGGAACACCTTGTTCTTAGTAAAACATCACAAGAATGGAGGATCATGAATCTGATGTACTAAATCTTGATATGAGGACAATTAATGACTTAGTACAAGTAGGGAGTAGGGGAAGGGGAGAGCAGAGAGGAGGGAGGGTGTTGGGGAAAAGGAAGAGCAGAGAGAGGGAAGGAGGGAGAGGAGTGGGATCTTGGTGTGTGACACACCTTTTGGGGCCAAGACAAAATTATAGGAGGGACTTCACCTAACAAATCCAATCAGTGTAACCTGGTATCTTGTACCCTCAGTGAATCCCCAGTAATAAATAAAAACCAAAAAACTATTTTTACTAAATATGTTAGCAGCAGTAGTAAAATGTCTCTTGGTTTCAAAAAAAGAATTTAATGAACAGGTAAAGAAACAGATTGGCACAGCTAAAGACAATGTGTGAACTGGAAGATAGCCTTGAAGATACTACCCGGAATGCAACATCAATAAAGAGATGATAAACATAAAAGAAAGTTGAAACATAAAAGTTAGCATGAAGGGTTTTTTTTGAGACAGTCTGACTATATCACCCTTGGTAGAGTGCTGTGGCCTCATAGCTCACAGAAACTCTTGGGCTTAAGCGATTCTCTTGCCTCAGCAAGTAGCTGGGACTATAGGCGCCCCCCACAACACCTGGCTCTTTTTTGTTTGCAGTTGTCGTTGTTTAGCAGGCCCTGGCCAGACTCAAACCCGCCAACTTCGGCGTATGTGGCTGGTGCCCTACTCACTGAGCTACGGGTGCTGAGCCAGGTTTTTCTTTTTTTTCAATTTGTTTTTTGACAAGAGTCTTGTTCTGTCACCTACTCCTAGGTAGAGTGCAGTAGTGTCATCATCGCTCACAGCAACCTCAAACTTTTGGGCTCAAGCCATCCTCCAGCCTTAGCCTCCCAAGTAACTAAGACTACATGCATGGGCCACCTTGCTCATCAGATTTCCCTGTTTTTTGTTGAAATGGGGTTTTGCTTTTGCTCAGGCTGGTCTTGAACTCCTGACCTCAAGGGAACCTCCCTTCTCCCTTTTGGCCTCTCAAAGTGCTAGGATTACAGGTGTGAGCCACTGTGCCCGTACTTAATAAAGAGTTCTAATGTACATCTAATTGTAGTTGCAGAGAGAAATAAATATGAATGGAATGGTGAAGCAGTGGTCAAATAGAAATTGCTGAGAATTTTTCAGAATTGGTTAGAAATAATCCTCAAGTGGTAGAAGTCCAGTGAATACCAAGGAAGATAAAATCAACCTTGACAAAGCAGAGTGAAACTGCAGAAGGCTAAAGACAGAGATGTAAAAAGCAACTAGAGAGAAACAACAGATTGCTATTAAAACATTTTTCTTTAGTCTGGCAACTGATTTCTTTTTTTTTCTTTTTTTTTCTTTTTTTTGAGACAGAGCCTCAAGCTGTCCCCCTGGGTAGAGTGCCGTGGCATTACAGCTCACAGCAACCTCCAACTCCTGGGCTCAAGCGAGTCTCCTGCCTCTGCCTCCCAAGTAGCTGGGACCACAGGCACCCGCCACAATGCCCGGCTATTTTTTGGTTGCAGCCGTCATTGTTGTTTGGCGGGTCCGGGCTGGGGATTCGAACCCGCCACCTTAGGTGTACGTGGCTGGCGCCTTAGCCGGTTGAGCTATAGGCGTCGAGCCTGGCAACTGATTTCTTAGCAGAAACAACAGAAGCCAGAGAACATTGGAATGCTGTCTTCAGTGTACTTGAGAGAAAATAGCTGTCAGCCTTGAAATGACATAACCAGTAAAGCTGTCAGGAATGACAGCAAAATAAAGAAATTTTAGATGAAAACTTAGAGACCATTTATAACAGAAGGAGATTCTTAGAGACATAATTCAGATAGAAGAAGAAAAATCATACCAAATAGAAAGCCTGGGATCCTTTTTAATGGCTACAAAATGTTCTATCAAATAGATACAATTTACATTCTGCTATTCTTGGACATTTATGTTGTTTCCAATTTTTCAATATTAATCGAAGCTCTTTTTTTTTTTTGAGACAGAGCCTCAAGCTATCTGGGTAGAGTGCTGTGGCCTCACTGCTCACAGCAACCTCAAGCTCCTGGGCTTAAGTGATTCTCTTGCCTCAGCCTCCCAAGTAGCTGGGATTTCAGGTGCCCTTCACAACTCCCAGCCATTTTTTTGGTTGCAGCCCTTACTGTTGTTTGGCAGGCCAGGTCGGATTCAAGCCTGCCAGCTCCAGTGTATGTGGCTGGCGCTTTAGCCTCTTGATCTACAGGCACCACCAATTGAAGCTCTTTTGAACTTGTATATGAATATTTGTGCATGTAGTAGTTTATTTAGACTATTTTCCTTTTTAACTAGAAGGCCAAATTACTGAGTCAGAAAAGGAATGGATATTTTTGTTTTTCGGAATACACGTTGTGAAATTGTTTTCTTAAAGGATACAACCAATTTACATTTTGTGTAACAGACTATGTTGGCTTTATTTACAAATAAATAAGTCTGTTCCAGAGCCAGTTTTAAATGATTGGCATTTTGTACCAGATTTTGACTTAATTATATCTTAGACAAAAACAGCTTATCTCACTTCTCTGCCATTTGTGTTAAAAATGTTATTTATTTATTTATTTATTGAGGCAGAACCTCACACTGTTTCCCAGGTTAGAGTGCCGTGACATCAGCCTAGACTCTTAGCAACCTCATGTGCCTGGGTTCAAGAGTCATTTTTTCTTTTTTTTAAGAGAGTCTCACTTTATCGCCTTCAGTAGAGTGCTGTGGTGTCACAGCTCATAGCAACCGCCAGCTCTTAGGCGATTCTCTTGCCTCGGCTTCCTGAGTAGCTGGGACTAAAGGCACTCGCCACAACGCCTAGCTATTTTCTGGTTGTGATTTAGCCAGGGCTGGGTTTGAACCTGCCACCGTCAGTATCTGGGGCTGGCACCCCAGTCACTGAGCCACAGGTGCCGCCTTTTTTTTTTTTTTTTTTTTTTTGAGACAGTTTCACTTTATCGCCCTTGGTAGAGTGCCGGGGAGTCACACAGCTCACAGCAACCTCCAACTCCAGGGCTTAGGCAATTCTCTTGGCTCAGTCCCAGCCAGTAGCTAGGACTACAGGCGCTCGTCATAACACCTGGCTGTTTTTTTGTTGCAGTTTGGCCAGGACTGGGTTTGAACCCACCACCCTGTATATGGGGCCGGCACCCTACTCACTGAGCCATAGGTGCCATCCTGGGTTCAAGAGTCTTTCTGCCTCAGCCTCTGGAGTAATTGGGACTATAGGTGCCTACCACCACATCTGCCTAATTTTTCTAATTTTAGTAGAGATAGAGGTCTAGCTTTATTTGCTTAGGCTGGTATCAAACTCCTGAGCTCCAGAAATTCTCCTCCGTTGGCCTTTCAGAGTGCTAGGATTTCAGGCCTGTGCAGCCTTCTGGGCCTAAAATGTTTTCTTTTTAACAGAAACATATGCTAACTGAAATGTATTCTTTCTAACAAAAAGCATTCTGACTCTGTAGTAGTCTTTCTGGGTTTTTTGTTGTTGTTTTGTTTTGTTTTTTCTTTTTAAATCTTTTTTCAGTTTATTAACAAATAGATACTTAATGAAAAGGGTAACTTAATGAAAAGGCAAAAAATGACAAATGGCAAATAAATGCCTTGCTTAGTTTTTATTTTATCATAGGAAGGAAGATTACTATTTTAATGCTACTACATTGTTTATTAGTTCTGATTATGTCAGAATAGCCAGTCAACAGCATAGAAGTGAACAAATGTTTTTTCTTTTTTAATAAAGGGCCATTCTGCTCGGCACCTGTAGCTCAGCGGCTAGGGTGCCAGCCACATACACCAAAGCTGGTGGGTTTGAATCCAGCCCGAGCCTGCCAAACAACAATGAAAACTAAAACCAAAAAAATAGCCAGGTGTTGTGGCAGGCGCCTGTAGTCCCAGCTACTTGGAAGGCTGAGGCAAGAGAATTATTTAAGCCCAAGAGTTTGAGGTTGCGTGAGCTGTGAAGCCATGGCCCTCTACCCAGGGTGACATAGTGAGACTCAGCCGCAAAAAAAAGGGTCAATCATTCTAAAACACAAAATGCTATAAATTTACTTGGGGATTCTATATTCTATAATATGAACTGAATGTAAGAAGGTGTCTCTTTTTTTCTATCTTCTTGCTATTTCAGGTGCAAGTGAAAGTGTAGGAAAACATATGCTTGAAGCCTGCAACAATAATCTGGAGATGGCTGTCACAATGTTTTTGGATGGTGGAGGAATTGCTGAAGAGCCCAGTACCAGTTCAGCAAGTGTCTCTGCTGTCAGACCACACACAGAGTATGAATTTATTATTTGTTATTAGGAGTTATGCCTACATTGAGTAGTTGGCTTTTTTATCAAAGTTAGGTTAGTTCTCTAGTTAAAAAAAAAAAAAAAAAAGGATGGAAGCACCTGAAAAAGTATCAAGTGAATTTTTGTAGTTAGTTTAAATTCTGTAGAACATTGTCATGTTTTTTATTTAATATTCTGAAAAACCAGGCAGGCTCAGAGTGAAGTCTGGGAGACAGTGAGGGGGCTGCCCAGCAAAGATTGGTCTGTGGCCAAGAGGTGGGGCCTGTATGCTTGGCAGTAAAAACCAATGACAACAACAAAACCTTATAGGATAGCATTATTATCCACATTTTAATGATGAGGCAGCAGGGGCATAGCCATTTTCTAAGCTACACAGCAATTAAGTAGCAAATACAGAAGTAAAGCTCAATGAAGCTCAGATGTACCAATTCTAGATTTTCCTCCATTGTCTCAAGAAAGCTTGGTGTTGACACAAAAAATTGTGATAGCTATTTCTTTTTTTTTTTTTTTTT